ATATATATATATATATATATATATATACACACACATTCTAGAGCATATCATCTTGTGATGTATCCGCTTATGACAAGGATTTAAAGTTTTACAGATATCCTAAAATATTTTATTTATGTATTATGCATTCGTCAATGATTAAAAAAATATAAAAAGTATTTTATATATCATCTGATTTATGTGTTCGTTTAAGATAAAAAATAATATTCAAAGTATCGAGCGTACTCTTAAGTATTTTATTTGTGTATAATGTATCCGTTCAAAATAAATAAATATCTAAAGTGTTTGACATATCCCAAATCTCTCATTTTACGTGTGATGTGTTTGCCTGAGATAAATGTTTTTTTGAAACATTAATGCATCCCAAAGCGTTTGCACATGACAAATCCGTAAGGGTGAAAAAATATGTTAAGCATTGACACATTCTAAATCATCTTATTGGTGCATAGTATATTTGCCTAGGACATGAAAATAATCAAAACATAATTTAGTCATTTTTTAATGCAGAGGGTAACAATCGAGCTCCCAAAATTGATATTATATTTTGTGATGGATAAACTCTTATCCCAAAGAGGACAAATAATATGGTCATTATTTTTAATCAATCAAAACTTGATATATAAAATCAAATCAATGCTCATACTGTTACTCAACTCTGGAAGATAGATAAAAAATTCATTGGACATGTCAAATAAATAGAAAATCTAAAAAGGTATAGTCTCTAATTAAATTAATAATTATAAGAATGATACTATATAAATTATTTTTTTAGATAATATAATTATTAAAAATGAACTAAATTAACACTTCCAGCTTAATCGTCAAAGAGATTTTATCGAATAAATCATATATAGTCTTTTTTAGAAAGTAACACCCGAGTATTTATAAATATAACAATAAATACAGAATATGAACATCCTTTGTTTTTAGGAAAAAAATTTCCCTATCCAATTTCTATATATTTAATAAGTCATCTTTCTGCAATATAATAATTTTTAAAACATAAATTAGGTCAAATTGATGATTAATTTTAATTTTATTTTTTTTAATAAAAATATAATAAATTTGATTGTCGAAGGAATTTTATCGAATAAACATAATCTTTTGTAGAAAAGTAGATATGAGACACAAGTATTTCTAAATATGACAATGAATATTTTTTTATATATTTAGCAAGTCATCTTTTTTACATTATAATAATTTTCGAAACATAAGGTATGTAAAATTGACGCTCAAATTTCATCTTATCTTCAAAAAAATTATATATATATATATATAATGGTATTAGAGGAAGTGCGTTTTGTTGAATAGCAGCCGAACAAAGGGCTTCATCCACCGGCCTCGAGCGAGTCGTCTTACACGACCCACAAGAGGTGGTGTTCGTCGTTGTATCATGGCCTTCGCCTCAAATCCATTATCGCTAAGCGTGACGGAACCCGCCTTCGAGGCATGGCTGCGCGAAACCGGCTACCTCGAGATCCTCGACGACCGCGCCGCCTCCGCCGACCCCTCTCCTCCCTCATCTTTCCCCTCCCCTTCCTCCTCCTCCTCCACCGCGGTTCCCGACGCCCCCCTCCGCCCTAGGACCTCCGCTCCTGCAGCCGGGCGCGGTGGTCTCGCCGCCCGCGCCTTCTCCTCTATGCGCACCCTTGCCTCCCTCTTCACTCTGAACCCTTTCGCGAAGCTCACGCCCGAGGACCTCTCCGTCGGGACCCCCTCGTGGACTCTCGAGTTCATCGGCGCTGCCGGCTCCTACTCCTGGCCCGCCGGATCCGCCCAGGCCCGGATGAGGGTGCAGGAAAACGTTCGCCGCTACGCCCGGAACTATGCACTGCTATCGGTTATCGTCTTCGCTTGCACCTTGTGAGTCTGCATCCCTATTCCTCATTTGTTCCTTGATTGATCTGCTGACTTATTGTAGCCTTAGATGTATCTCGACTGAGGCCTTCTTGTTCTCTTGGCAGGTACAAGATGCCGGTTTCGCTTCTTGGACTGATTGCGTGCTTGGTTCTCTGGGAATTTGTGAGGTTTTGCGGTGATAAGTGGCAATTGGAGGAAAGGTGCCCTGGATTAAGACAGGCGTTCGTTCACATTGCTCAGCTTGGTGAGTAGGTTTCTTTTTTTTTTTTTTGGCAAAGGGTGAGTGGCGAAGGTGGGATTTGAGCTTCACGATTTTGTGATGTACTATTAAAGTGTTTATCAGCTAAGCTCGAATGAGGTTTCGAACCCTCAAATCTTTGATAAGTTGGTCTGGTATACCACCGCTAGACCAATGTTTAAGGTGTCACCTTGGTGACTTGCCTGAGATCATTTATTCCCTTCTTTTGACTTAATGAACTTAGGTACAAGTTATGTGATTTAACAGTCAGATGCATGCATGAACTAATTATTGTGCTAATTGAGTGGAAACATGGACTCATTTCTCCATATACATGTGACATGCTCTGTAGATTTGATCTTAAAGATTTGGTGGGTGCATCTCAAGTATTGATGCCGATAAGTCTTGTTAATCATGCAATTTGCATTTAAAATTTAAAGTAAAGTAAATGTGAAAAAAAATGTAAAGAACTTAAGAATGCTAGAATAAAGTTTATGAAGGCTTCTCAAGTCATTGTCACATATCCATATGGACATTGATTCCCCAGTGAATGAGTTTTGACTCCATTCAGATTGTTTGTGCTCTCCTTGAGTGAAATCCTTACCACAGACGTGGCCAATATATTTCTTCACTCTTAACTACCTTGTTTCCCTTGTTCCATGGTTTTACCTTTGGACCCAAATGTTAGATATTGTGACTTTGGGACATGCAATACTGTGTCAGTCTAGATCCAGAACTTTGAGATTGATATGATTGATTTCTGGGCCACCTAGCTCCCTGTTTTGTTATGCTATATTGTGTTTGCATGCCATGTTAGCAACTTTAGCAAGGATAGTTCAATTGAGTGCTTAAAGATAATAGGCTATTAGAATGTTTGATATGGAATATAGTGTTAACTTTCTATTACATCACATGGGTGTTTGGCCTCTTCTATCAAGAATAAGGACTAAAAAAGGGTCATGTAACACACCTTAAAATATAACCAGATTTGCTGCTTCAGTATATAAATAGGAGATTAGCTGGAAGATATTGATTAGCAATCTGGTTTTGTGCTGGCTGGATAACATGCTTTATAGTTATACCAATACCTGTGGTATATATTGTTTTATAACCTAACAATAATTTGTTGGCTGATATAGTTTGGACAGATCAGACTAATTTATATGATCCAAGGATCAAAAGATTCATGCGAAAATACCGTTACATGTGAGAGATAAATGTAAGCTGCTTTAACGTGCGATTATACTATAGTGCTTAGTAGTTGAAATAATGGAGGTGCAAGTAGTGAGAAATGCAAAGGGCTTATCGGTTTGGTACTCAATATGATTGAACTGAAGCAGATTCAAAGGATTTCTTATTTACTCTTAACGTGTGATTATAGTGCTTAGGAGTAGAAATAATGGAGATGGAAGTAGTGAGAAATGCAAAGAGCTCTGGGTTTGGTACTCAATATGATTGAACTTAAGCAGATTCAAGGATTTCTTATTAATTCTTAACGAGTGATTATAGTGCTTAGTAGTCGAAATAATGGAGATGGAAGTAGTGAGAAATGCTAAGGGCTCTGGGTTCGGTACTCAAATGATTGAACTTAAGCAGATTCAAGGATTTCTTATTTATTCTATCAAGCCATTTTTTATGTTAATTTTACTGAGCATGATAATTTTACTTTCCTGCAATCATTTTACCATATTGCCCATGAGACATATTTTGTATTCCTCATTAACCAACATTTTGCACAATCATAGTCTGCAAATTATGAGATGTTTTTCAAACATTGACCAAGTACCATCCGAGTATGTAGAATTATGATTTTGTTTGCATCTGTCCAATTTAGACGAAAATTTTTTAAAATACAAAATCAGAAAGGTTCATCTTCTGATAAAGAAAGTTCTACAAATATGTTCAATTTAAGGTTGATCGACTATATTGTTTTATTGGTACTATGCTAGAAATCACATGCAAGATTGAGACAACCTTGATGTTAATTGGGTTTGTACATGTAGCAGAATCCTGTCAATTATTTAGGGACTAAAGTTTCTTTGATGAGGATTTTTGTAAGGTTATTCTGTTATATTTTTCTTCACTGAAACTTCCCCATGAGTTTGTTTTTTCAATTACCTAATCTCATCTCTGTTAATGTGATAGTTTCCATCAACTAAACATCGGCACACATCACTAGTCATAATATCAAGCAGACGAAATGTAATGTAAACCTGTGGTGAAGGCCTAGTGCAGATTGGGCTCATAGAGATTCAGCCGTCTGCTGTGTTCACTGATCATGAAGTATCAGTTCCCTTTTCTATTGCCCTGATTTGATAATCAGGATACAAAGAAATTAGAGTGTGATGTAGCTGCACTCTGTTGTTCACTGGGACCATCTTCATATGATTATTTCCTTGCCATTCTAATTAAGGAAGAACTAGTATCAGAAATCACGTGTGTGATCTGCATAATGCGACATGGCAGAACACTGCATGCTATAAGTATAGTTTTAAGTCTGGGATTGCACTAACGCTGTAACACATTGCTTTCTATGGTTGCTTGCCAGTATATCCTATTTTGTATTCAAGAATACTCACAAAACAGTTACAAAAGTCTTGCATTTATCAAGTATATATGCTTACTGAAGTTTCCTAATTCTATATTTGTCATTGTTCTTATTTATTTATTTATTTTGTTTTTAAAGCGACTGCAGTGGTACTCTATATGTGCAATCTTCAACTAGCTATTGCTTACACGGTTGGTGTCAGTTATGCAGGTGACTCTACCTGATTTCATCACTTGATCTCATTAAATACATTGTTAACCATAACCTTAACAACAATTTTGTTTTTCTAGTCCTCATTTTTCATGCTTTTCTGCGGAAGTTGACTCCAAGACGGATCCCGGGGGCTAACCAGCATGGAAGATTTCTGCAGAGAAGGTAACGATTGGCAGCAAAACAAGTGCTCATCCCAGCTGTGGAGGGAGCATGCACTTTTGATGTGGATCTCATCGTTAGTTTCCAACATAGGATACTGTTAAAGCTCTAGAACTTCTTTTAGGGATAGAAAAAGTTTATCCATTTATGCTCTGTGTCATTGCTCTACACTCATGAAAGTGTAACAGCTAATGGCAGTGGCATTAAGGGGAACAAAGACTACTCTTCTATAGGACAGATTGTGCACAGGATACATCTGCAATCCTTCTTGTAAACACAGGTAGATCCTACTTGACATTTTTGAGTTGTGAGACTCAAAATTGGAAGATTGTTCTTTTGGCATTACTGCTACAGGTAAAACCCTTGAATTTCTAAGCGTTAAATCTTGGTTCCTCCACTTGTGATTCAGACACATTTTAGCTCCTACACAACCAAACCACCAATATGTTGTCTGTAACACAACTGAAGATCGAATGATGGGTATTTATTTGAGTGGCATTATCTACTTGCATATGGTCAAAACATCACAATTTCACTTACACAAGGAGGTTACACTATGCAGTCAAACAACAGAAAATTTTACTGGACTCGGGACAATGTCTTATTCCACGAGTTACATAAGTGAATTGAGTATAATCCCAGGAAGAGCATTGCAGTAAAGAGTTTGTAGGTTGCTGCATTTGCATATTGACCAAGATGTGTTAGTTGGTAAAGATATTGAAGATTGATGAGTAAGTTCTTGGGTTGTTGTTTGGCCTTTATCTTAAATTACTTGTTATTGAAAGAATATTACAGGAACTAAGTTTATTTTGTTGTGTGTATCTTTTTGTATAATACAAAGGAAGAGAGGGAGAGAAAGATAAAGAAAAGGAGGGTGAGGTCAAGAACCCAGAAGGAATCAAAATATGACTTTAAGTCAAGAACCCAAAAAAATCATTGAGAAGGGAGAAAAATTCAAAGGAGATCCTGTTCAAAATTTTGCGCCTATTTTTCTCTTTTATATATATATATATATATATATATATATATATATATATATATATATATATATATACTAGCTAGTTATAATTGACTATGACAATACTATATCAGGACTAATATTCTTTTATCCGTAAATGATCAAGGTTTGAAAAGTGACTCGGGATAATCTTCGAGCTGTTAAACTTCGTATGGAATATTCACAAGAATATTTTGAGAAGATCAAAGGACAGTTCAGATTAGTTATCGACCAACCTCCTCTATCGAATATCCATAGGAATATTTTGAGAAGATTAAAGAATGATTCATATTAGTTATGAACTAGCCTCCCCCACTAGTTCTGATTGGTTACAAACTGTTCCCTTCATGATATCTACGTGAGGTACTCCTCTTTCCTTCGAAGGTTAGTATAAAAACACACTAAAGGCTTTCAAAAGAAAGGAAGGAGAAAAAAGGTCACTATAATAAAGTGGTTGATATATCATCTTTGTGAATGTCGAGCAATCATCTCCTCGTTCCTGCCGAGGCATTCCTAAATCTCACCCAACAGATACAAACACTGGCTGATATAATAAAGTGGTCGCTCCGCTTATGCCTCGGCCATACCACCAAGTGACATCACTACCTCAATCACCGATGATAATTCCTCAGCCCTAGGTCTCGGTGTCCGTCGAAGTCCTGACTAATGGGTTATCAGCTCTCCATAATATTTTAAAACCCACCGAACCATCAACTGAGAAAGCCCCATGTTCCCCAACCGTGGAACTTGGTAGACGTCACCGCCACCTTTCTCTGGGTCTAAGACTCACTCAACTGACTCAACAGTTGACTCCTTGAGAATCCGATCGCAACAAATGGACCGATGCTTAGAAGAAATGCACTGCAACTTCCACCAATTCAGAAGAGCAGGGCAAGTCTATTCTATGTCGTTCTGATCCCCGTTCATTTATAACATACAAGAGGAACCAGTTCTCATAAGTTTTCATCTTATCGGACGCCTTAATGTGTCGTGTCATCCCAACTACCTTAAGGAGATCAGCATGAGAGTGGTATGCTCATCTCAAATCTCACTCTGGTAGTTCTTTTGCTTAGCTAGTGAAAGAGTTCAAGCTCCACTTCCTCGGGAATGTATGCCCAAGGCCTATAGCCTCAATGCTTCTAGGATTAAGATAAGGCGAGGAGGAGATACTAGCAAACCTTGTTAATTGATTTACCAATGAGATCCTAAAAGTGGACAATGTCCACCCTTCACTCGTGATCTTGTCCTTCATAATGGGGTTAAAGCTCTCACATCTCTTCTTATTGCATTAGTACTTGCATTAGTACTCATGATCTAGTCCTTTAGTTCGCTAGTGTCATCCTAAAGGGCTTGAACCAACAAACATTCGAACAAGACTTAAATTCGAGTTCAAGATCTCTAACAATAAGGCCAAATATGAAGCACTTCTCTCAAGACTCCAGCTCGTACTAGAGCTCAAGTTCAAGAACTAATAGCGTTCAATGACTTTGAGCTAGTCGTGAGTCAAATAGAGGGAAGTTACGAAAATCGAGACACCATCATGATAAGATATCTCACCGAGGTACAAAAGTTGTCTCACAATTTCTCCCAACTCCAAGTACTTCAAATACCACGTTAAGAGAATACCGAGGTAGATGCCCTCACCCAACTGGCATCCACTCGAGCTCTCGAGCCAAATTATCTATCGGTTAGGACCCTATCAAACCAAACCATCACGAAGCTCAACATGGTTATGGTTGAGGCAGAACTGAGTTGGATGGATGAAATCATACATTACAAGAAAGACGGAATACTCCCAACCAATCTCACGGTAACTCAAAGAGTCAAGCACCACCAAGCTTGATATTGTCTAACTAATGATCGCTTGTATCGTAGGTCTTTCAGCCAACCGCTCACGTGTTTAAATCCCCACGAGGCCGAAAGAGTAATTGCCGAGGTCCACGAGGGCATTTGTGGAGAGCACATTGGCAAGCAAACCCTTGCTTTCAAAGTGCTCTAATAAGGGTTCTACTGGCCAACACTATGCAAAGATACAATTGCATACATCTAAATATGTCGTAGGTGTTAGGAATTTGCTCGAGTACCAAGACAACTGACAGTTCCCTTAAATCCAATCGACTGTGGGTGATTGTTCGCTTAGTGGGGAATGGTCCTTTTCGGGCCCTTCTCACCTGTCTTGGACCAACGAAGTTTCATCATCGTAGAGGTCAACTATTTCACAAAATGGGTGGAAGCCAAACCACTAGCATCAATAACTGAGAGACATGTCAAAGGATTCATATGGAGGAACATTATCACTTGCTTCGAGATACTAAAGACCCTTATCACAGACAATGAGACTCGATTCAACAATCCAAAGTTCAAAGAGTTCTGCCAATATTATAGAATCCAATTAGATTCAGCTTAGTGGCTCACCCCCAAACTAATGGTCTTTCCGAAGTCACCAATCAAGCTATCCTCGAGGGCCTCAAACATCAAGTCATCGGATCAAAGGGCACCTGGGTGGATGAGCTGTCAAGAATCTTATGCGTCTCCCCATTGACACCAAAGACAGGGTCGAGAGAATCCTCTTTTAGCCTAGCCTATGGTACAAAGGTCGTCTTACCACCTGAGGTAATCTTCCCGATGCCCCCATGTTGAAAACTTTGATGAAGAAACTTTCGAGATTAGATTGAGTTGAGCTCGATTTGATAGATGAGGTTAGAGCCACTGCACATCTACAAGTTCTGAGATACAAGAAGGCGATGGCCAAGCTCTACGACCAAGGTGTTTGAACCCAAGGCATTCAACTAGGAGACTTGGTGTTGCGTATAGTTGAGATGATCGACCCCACCCACTCCCAAGGAAAGCTAACACCAAACTGGGGAGTCTTATCGGGTCATTGAAGTTATCCGAGATGGGACATATCACCTCAGTACAACAGAAGGAAGAACATTACCAAGAACGTGGTATATCTCCAACCTAAAAGAAAATTATTTGTAAAAAGCCTCTAGAGGGGGAAGGGTTTTATCGAGGCACTATCCAAGTCGAGAGAAAGTGTTTTTGAAAAAAGAGAAAATAATTACAATAGACAAAGTAGGCCCCTACAAGTAAACTTGGGTGTTATCTACAAAAAGAGAAGAAAAAGAGACATCATCATGCACTAGGCGAAGAATCGAGACCGTCATAAAAAGTAACTTGGCTTTCCATTGGAACGTCTTGATCCTCGGGACAGTCGGCAAATGGGTCTTCCTCAAGTTCCAGTCTAGGGTACCATGCTTTGAAGCACGCTAAAGCAATCAAATACCCAAATTTATAGGAGGCCACCCTTATACATTTTGAGTCACTTCATTGGTACATGACAAGTGGTGTCTCCAAGGGATAATTATATATTACCCTCCTATAGTTATACCTTTTTAGTATCTCGATCCCTAAACTTACAAAATTTATATTTAAATCATATAATTATGAAAGTGAAACATTTAACCATATTTATTCTAACATTGTCGACTTTACCGATAGAAGATACAGCACGTGATAGCATATGCATGAATGACACGAAAACGATGGGAAAAAAAATAATTTTAATAGTGGTGGTGGATGGTGGTATCGTGGGTGATTGTTATGGTAGTGATCGACGAGAATGATGCGATGGTCGGCCTTGCCGATGTCAATTTGAACATCGACGATAGAGAGGAAGAGGAGGTAGAGCGATGCGATGCCGATGGAGGAAGAGAAGGCATCTACGTCGGTGCTACATCGCTCTACCTCCTGTTCCTCTTTTGACGATGTAGTGGTCGTCGAGAACGAAGAGGAAATAGAGCAGTGTAGTGTCGACACAGAGGAGGCAGTGCGGTGCCACACCAAATGATGCGGTGACCGGCGAGAACAAAAAGGAGGCAAAGCAGTGCAACATCGACGTAGATGCCTCACCTGCCTCCTCTTTCTCCTTTGGTATCGTACTGCTTTGCCTCATCTTCGTTCTCGCCGACCATCGCACCATTCAATGTAGCACTGCATTGCCTCCTCTTCGTTCTTGCCGACTAATGCATCTTTGGAAGAGGAGGCAGATCGGTGTGACTCAACGTAGATACCTCACCGCTTTGTCTCCTATTCTTCCTCATTATCGATGTTTTCGAATCGACATCGGTAAAGTCGACCATCGCATCGTTCTCATCAACCACCACCACAACAATTACCCATGATGCTATTATTCATCACCATAATTAAAATTATCTTTATGTCTATTATTTTTATATCATTTATACATGCATAATCACATGCTGTATCTTTCGTTTATAAAGTTGACAATATTAGGATAAATAAGATTAAATATTTTAATTTTATAATTATAAAAAATTAATATATTTTTTTAAATATAAGGAACAGAATATTAAAGAAATTTAACTATAAAGAATAATCTATAATGAGTTGTGTCACCAAAAGATGAGCTAGCCATCGCAGGACTACGTTAGGGGATGGTTACGATGAAAGTACAGGCCAAGGATGCGAGAATCCACCAAAGACCTCATCCTCGGTGATGAGGTTCTCGGTGCGGGGTTGCTCCACGGAGACAAGACATCAAGGGTTGGTGCTGCGCTCCAAAGGTTCTCGATACTATTGACAAGCGACAATGACAACAATGAGTTGACCGCCAAAGACGATGAGACTTGAGAGAAATTATCCTTGAGAAAGAGGAGTCAACATCGTTGACAGAGAGGGCGGAAACAATGAAAGAAGAAAGGGAAGATCAACAGCACCGGAGAGAGCGAGAGAGAGAGAGAGCGAGCGGCGACTGTGACGAAAGGCAGAGAGAGAGGCCATCAGCCGTGGAATGACCAGGCAAAGTTTAAAGCTGACTTGTTATGCTCATCGCTTCCACTGGATTCAAACATGTCGACTGCACGCCAAGCCAAACCCATATTCTTCCTGCCATTAATGGTTAAAAAGAGGGATCAAAAGATCAATGATCCACAGCTGATTAAACTGAACTGTTCTTTGAGATGCATTATTCGCAAGAATATGAAATTTAAACCCGATACAACCGAAAATACAATGATCGATCACCTAGCATTTTTGGTGAAGGCTGTCATCCCGATGATGCAGAACTCTTCCTAAGTAGGTTGAAGGAAGCATATCGACACACAAAAGCTTATGCTGCCTTCTAACTTTCGAAACCAGGCGTGCCTACAGTCAATTCGCCTTTCACCAGCGCAGTCCAAGGCACAACAGTCTGCGGGATTCTTGACAGCATTTATGAGTGACAATTTGACAAACTTGCCAAAATGATGGATCTACAACACGATGAGAACATGAAGAACTCATGCAACCAAGACGAACCATGTTATATAATTCATGTGGTCGCAGGCACTGATATCTATCATGGTCATCAATAATAGAACAGAGACCAAAATGATTTACAGTAATGCTGCTGAATTAACTCCCTGAAGCAACCTTTCTGCCATACTTGGAGAACACACCGGTTAGTATCGTCTTCTCCTTGATTTTTAACCTGAAACATTTATAAACATATTCAATATGTAGACTGGACATTGTGATTCCTATAAACAAAAGGAATTTGGTTAGCAATTATAGAGATGTACCTGGCCACTGAACCAGGTAAGCTCGGTTTTGAAGCCTTCACTAAGTATGTCTTGACTGCCTTCTTTTTTGAAGATGTCTTTTTCTGCTGTTTCTGCATTGGAGGCACAGAATTATTCAGGCCTGAAGTTTTTATCATTGTCTTGCTTTCATTATCCACATTATCTGTAACCGGGATGTTAAGATGTTCTCTCTCTTCGAAATGTGTCAACAGACTCTCCTTTTTTCTCTTGGGTGACGTTGCTGCTTCAGACTCGTCTATTACTTTTGTACCAACAGCTACATCATCAAATGCCCTCTCTTGGACGTCGGATGTTATCATATCTCCTGCCTCTCTGGAATTTGGTTGAGTAAACCCCAGAGCATCATCATCGCATTGCTCCGAGGAGTTGGAAGTACCATGCGGGCTTATGACATCACAGGCAATCTGTTTCTCCACTTTACCAAAACACACACTTCTCCTGGAATATACTTGTACAAACCTGAGACAAAGAAGGATGGATATGCTTACTCTATTGTCATTAAAAGAGTGGAGAGGTCGAGTAATTATGTCACACTAGGACTCCTTTGAAATCATGCACCCAAAGTTATCAACCTTAATACAATATCAAGCAGAAATAGAGCAAATGGAACCTCTGTCCGTCCAAAGCATTGTTTTGATGGAATGCATATGAGAAGATCATAATGTGATGGGAATCATTAGAACCAAGCAAGTCAAAGATTAACACATGGTAACTTTGAGCTTTGAGTTTAAGAGTAGATACAATTCATACCTTAGGTAACTAGTAGAAGATTATGGATGGCTGCTATAATCTAAAGTATGTTCCATCTTTTAAAAAAGAATTCTCACCTTTAAACATCATAATGATTATCAGGAAAAACAAATTTAACCTTGAGAATTGCTCATGAATGAATGAAAAAAAGAAACAACCTCCACTTAAAAAATGTTGCAACACATATTAAAATTATATAAAACTGTCATGGATTGAGCGACTTGGTAACCATCAGAACATATTCTATTCCTGATATTCAAAGTGGAATATAACTGAACTGATAAAATAATTCTAAATTATAATAATTCAATTGATATATTCAAAATGAATAACAAAATCCACCTCTAGAACTTCAAATCTATTGGTTAGCTTGTTTCCACAAAACTGCTTACATAATAGTGAACTATTGATTGCATTTGAATGTCCTCTTGATTATCAACATTGACAGATCGAGCCTAATTCATGCCTTGCCTTCATCTAATTCATGCTGGGGTGACACCCAGGAATGCAATTTTCTCTAACTCGGCCAAGATAGTCCTATTTATAAATACATAGGAGACACATTGACCTGCTTAATGAACCTCAATGCCACTATTACCAATTTTTTTAATCACATTCTTCTTGTACTTCAAAAAATACACTAAGGATCATCTTAGTGCCTCTCACCTGATGCTAATCATACAAAAGATGTTTGATTGTGAGTTTCTAGCTTCTCTACATACAAGGATCATTAGCATGGCAAAATCTCATGAGTGACTAGCTGTAGAGATGGTTGCTACCTTACCTTTGTATGGCAGAACATCATGGTCATATTCAATGGACTGCCATCAAAATTTTTCAGCTGAATTATATATTCTATTAGTGATGCCTAAGATTCAGTACAAACTTCTGGCATTTGGAAATGAATGGAAGCTTAACTTTTACCATTTAACATCATACACAATTTAGATTCATCTCTTACACAGGGTGCTGCGTCCACTCCACGATCTTCTTTTTTTTTTTTTAATATCAAGAATGACATCTCAGGCTGTGAGACACAGGAAATAAGAGATATTATTTAATTATTCAAGACAGGAGGGAGTAGCAAATAAGATGATAATGCTTAAAAATATTCGGGCAAGGAAGTCGCAATCGAAGAATGTGAACCTTTTAAAGAACAAAATAATATATTATGCTACATAAAGAATTGAACTAAAATTCACGTCAGCATGAATTAGCAAAGCTTAGAGGAGTCAGAATAAAGAAAAGGAAAAGCAAAGGTCAAGAGGGACTAAACATGAAATACTGATATTTTAGGACTAAGCCAGAATAATCATCAGAATGCAAGAAGGAACTATTTGGATCATCCCAATAGTAAAAGGAAAATACAAAATTATCTCTTATTTATTTAAAGGGCTTCTTGGATCTTGTATTTGACACAGTAAAATTATAAAGACAAAAGCATACCTACTAGCAGCCTCCTCAGATGCAAAGTCCACGAATGCAAAACCCTTGCAGATCGGCTCACGAGTTTTTTGGTTCCCAATAACTGCAGGACTTATACTAACAAGATCAGGAAACCCTTGGAAAGCCCGCTGCAAATCTCTATGTATGTTCTTCTTCCTGGGAAGGTTCCGGACACGCACACGAAAACCACATGGAACTTCATCTGCTGCTGCAAATCCCCATTGCAATATATCAATATGAGCTTCAAAGGCAAACAAAAGGTGATGAACATAGAGAGATTGGAACCCTCTTGTAGTTCCTATTCTCTATTAAGTTTCTCTTACATATAAGTTTAAGAAGGAACACCATGATGATAAATTTTTCAGGAAGTAACTAAGTAGAATTTAGCATAAGAAAGTTGTGTGTATATGACCAAGAAACCAGGTAACTAATGTAGAAACATCACATGAAAGGTAAGTAGGACTGTAGGAGGATGTGTGAATTGGTCAAGTCATATTCAACTTGGGCAAAAGCAAAGCGCCCTCTGATGCTCTAAGAGTAGTATTATTATATCTCTTTGCAATTACACCAAAGCAAACAATCCAGTAAAGAAGTGCATATGGAGAGGATGTGTGTGAAGGTAAGCAAATTAACACTGATGCCTTGTTCACTACATGAATTGGAAATCCTTTGGATGTTAAACTTTAAAGTACATTGAACAAAAGCAATTTAAATTGAGATAACAGACAACTCGGACTTGCAAACAAGTATTGATAAGGCATATTTTGGTCCCCAGATGAGTCACCACCGACGTCACACGCCACGTCCCAACCAGTGTCAGAATCCGGCGCCGCACGTCATCAGAACCCCGTGACACACGTCAAGCCAGGTTCTGTACCGAGACACTATGCGACACGACTATCCCGAGGGCTCGGGGCGATGTCGTCTAACGCCGCTCATGCATCCCCTAAGACGCCAGCTCGTCAGATAAGCCGTCCCATCCCACAAAGGTCAGCGGCCACACCAAACCGAGGTGCAACCAATCCTCGCACAATAGTATATAAACCCCTGGCCGATGCCCGGCCAGGGGGAGAAAAACTCGATATAAAAATACTCCACTGACTTGCTCGTCGGAGGGGCCAAAGTCGGGAAACACCCGACGAAGGCCATTTTGCAGGAAGGCAGACACCCCCGAGCAGCGAGCGTCTCGACCCAAGAGATACCTTCCATCGCACAAGGGAGAGCAGTGAGCCGGCCCGGATCCCGAACAACGCCGACCAACATTCCTTCCCAAGGATGTGACCACCTCATCATCCTACTCACTCCGCAAGAAGCTCCCGACGTCGACCAGCGGACCTAACCGTGCCGACTAATCAGCCACAGTACTTTTGTTCACTAACAAGTATCAAGATACATATGAAGCAAAGAGTTGAAATGCCACCAAAGGATGATGCAACTAAAATTAGGGGGGCTTTTTTACTAGATTTTCTTGGATTTAGACGAAGTACATCGAACAAAATTAGAGGGGAATAAGCATAAAATCGAGGGTTCTGGATTTAGACGAAGAACATCGAACAAAAGAAATTTAAATTGAGATAACAGGTGACTTGGACTTGAAGACAAGTATCGAGATATATCTAAAGCAAAGGGTAAGGGTTGAGATGTTAGAAAGGATGACGCAACTAAAATTAGGGTTATTTGCTTGCTTTGCTTGGATTGGAGGGGAATAAGCATGAAATCGAGAGTTTTGGATTTAGACCAAGTGTTGTCCTTTGTTAATTGTTTTACTAAATTGTTCGATTGAGTGAAACTACATGGAGATTCCAAGAAACATCACCAACCGCCAAGCTGAAGCAAGAAGCACAGGAAATCGCAGTCGTACCCTTCAGTAACGGTTCTTGCTTCGCCTTGGCTGTGCCATCGCTCTTCGCGGGCTCGTTCTTGAGTTTATTGGCGCTGGCGAGCAGGACTTTCCTGCTCCGCTCCATCTCCTCCCACAGCTCATCCTCCAACCTGGTGTCGTACGCCCTCCCCTCTCCGAACCCGGCCGGCTTGTTACGGAGCCACTGCCTCATCTCTTGAAACGGCATCGCCGCTTCATCCCCGTCCTCCACCTCCTCCTCTTCCTCAGCCCCCTCCACCGACGCGTCATCTTCGTCCTCTGCTCCACTCTGCCGCCCCCGCCGCTGCCTCGAAGCGGAGAGCGGGAGCCAATGCCCTCTCCGCCGCTGGGAGGAGAGGGGAGGAGCGGCGGTGACGCGGCTGCCAAAGAGCAGCGGGTTGAGAGAGAGCGCAGGCGAAGAGATGGAAGGGCGGCGGCGGCGGAGGAGATGGGGAATGGCTGTAGCGAGGGAGCCGGCTCCCGTGCTCGTCATCCTTCCCCTCCCGATGGATCAGCCTCTCAATCTCTACTCTCACAAGCAAAACGAATCGCTGAGACCTCCTAAAAGATAATAGGTTGGTTATTAATATCGTTCTTATTTTAATTTTAATTCTGAAGCCTCATATAACTAACTCTTCGTTCCGTTCCAAAATAATAGGTAATATTTATTAATTAATGGGCAAATTTCCCTATTTTTTATTTTTCTTTTTGTAAAGCAACTCATTTTTTAACTACATCAAAATATATACAATGACTACATCAAAATATAACTACATCAACTTATAGATATTATTAATCATAGTAATTAGTGGGTTAAAGTATTTGTGTGAATATGATGTGGTAGTAAGGCTATCTGATTGAATGCTAATGACTGATGCTAATTGCTATCTTTCGAAGTAATATGTTAATTGAGATGTACAAGGCTTAATCTAAAGTTAGTGGTTTCTTTTTAGGTTTAATTGACTAATGGCAACAGTGAAGAGGGATCCAAGCAAAACCTCAATACCCATCACAAATGGTTATTATCATGGTAGATAGTTCTCTCCAAACACTAAATTAAAATGAAACACTCGACTCACGGGATGAGAAGTCTATCCAACATCCCATGTGGTAACAAGGGAAGTGGATCATGGTGTCAAACGTCTTGCTTGAGATTGACCAATAGATTTATAACTATTAGAATACCAATGATTAAGTTTAAACAAACTTCAATTAGGAAATCCCTAAATTAACCCTAATTAGAAAACCGGGTATAACTATTACTTTTATCATTCCAGTTTCTAACATCATATACCGTAGATAAAGTCACAAAATAACATTTTGACGCAAAAAGTAAGACGCATTCTCTTACATCTGACACAAATGATGCAAGTGTTAGTATGATTGAAACCCATCTACCCTGTGAACTAAAGAACAAGAAGCAAAAAAAAAAAAAATGGGGAGAATGGGAAAAAGCTGTAGAGAATTTACTTGTCACTCCTGTAACTGGTCATTCTTATGAAGTCTTCTGTTATATCATCAGTAACAAGTTTGATGGCCACCAAGCAATATGTGATCACCTTGGATTGCTGTATGTCACAGATTCAGTAAAAGTACCAGCTTATTGTCTTGATTCTAGCTGTGGAAAGAGAGTTAGCAGTAATGAAGCAATTAGCATCCAATAAAAGTAATCCAAAGCTTAACCTTCAGAACTTCCCATAACGATATTCAATAATCATTAAGAGAGTAGTAAAATAAACAGTGGAACACAAAATAGCATAATGCAAAGAAATTTAGACTTAATGAGGCAAGTGAAGAGAAAGCAGATCAGATGCAGCAGCAAGTTTCTGGCTGTTGTCACAACTAGATTAATAGATGGCAAGATGTAGTAATCTGAGGCTAACCTTCAAAATTTCCATTACCAAGATTCAATAATCATTAAGACAACATAAAAGCAAAAGGGGAAGCTAGCTAACAGAAAGCAGATCAGAAGCAACAGCAAGATTCTGGTTATTGTGACACCGAGATAGAAGGATGAGAAGATCTAGTAATCTAAGCAGCCAGCTTCTCCCATTTGAGAGGCTTAACCACCTCCCAGGTAAAGTCTGGGTCATCCCTGCCGAAGTGACCATATGCTGCTGTCTTGAGGAACCTGCCGTTGCCACCCCGCTTCAGGTCAAGGTTATCGGTGATCATCCCAGGCCTGAAGTCAAAGGTGTCCTTCACAATCTTCAGGATCTCCTTATCGGGAATCTTGCCAGTGCCATAGGTGTCAACAAAGACAGACAGTGGCTCAGGAACACCTATGGCATAGGAGATTTGGACGATACAGCGGCGGGCAAGTCCATTTGCCACAATGCTCTTAGCTGCCTGCCTAGCTATGTAGGCACCGCTGCGGTCAACCTTGGTTGGGTCCTTGCCAGAGAAGGCACCACCACCATGGGCTCCCCAGCCACCATAGGTGTCGATGATGATCTTGCGTCCGGTAAGCCCAGCATCACCATGAGGCCCACCGATGACAAATCGACCAGATGGATTGAGATGGAAGATGGTCTTCTCATCGAGGTACTGCTCAGGTACGACAGGTTTGATGACATGCTCCTTCAGGTCAGCGGCAATCTCATCATTGGTGACAGTCTCATCGTGCTGGGTGGAAATGAGGATGGTGTGCACACGAATGGGAACCATGGCACCATGGTCATTGTGGTACTCAACTGTAACCTGGGTCTTACCATCAGGTCTCAACCAGGGGCAAGTTCCATTTTTTCGGACCTCAGTGAGGCGTGCACCAAGCTTTGTAGCGAGGACATGGCTGAGAGGCATCAGCTCGGGTGTCTCATCTGTTGCATAGCCAAACATGTGCCCCTGGTCACCTGCACCGATCTCTTCAGGGTGCTTGGTGAAGTGGCCATGAACACCCTGGGCAATGTCAGGAGACTGCTGCTCAATATTTACAAGCACCTTGCAGTGGTCAGCATCAAGGCCTACATCATCAGATGTGAACCCAATGGAACGGCAGGTGTCACGGACAATTTTCTCATAGTCAATGCTGCCCTTGGTGGTGATCTCACCAAATACCATGACCATGTTGGTCTTGGTGCATGTCTCACAGGCAACCTTGCTGTCAGGGTCCTGCTCAAGGCAGGCATCAAGAACTGCATCAGAGATCTGGTCACACAGCTTGTCCGGGTGCCCCTCATTGACAGATTCAGAGGTGAAAAGGAAGGTGTCCTCCATTTAACCTGAAGTTGGATCAACATAGAATTAGAATGTATCAAATTAGTGTGAGAGATGAATACCAAAGCCAACTACATAAATTCACATACAACAAAGAGGCATTACTTAAACACAGTTGAGATGGTGAAATAATTATTGTACAATATATAAAGACCATCAGAATCCACATACTCTCAACTGAAGAAAAAAATGATGTAACCTTCAAAAGTAGCAATATTGGGAAAATGTTTTGCCACTGATAGAAGCAGAAACCTCAAATCAAAGTCTAAAATCATGAGAAACTATTCTCAGGTGGGAGGATAGATGAGGTGTTTGCCAGAGTTGCACAGTACAACAAAAAGAGGGAGGAAAGGTGCATTATGCTTTATAAAATCATGAGAAAGAGAGAGGGGAGGAAGTATGATCCAGGAAGCAAGTAAAAGAGTTGCATGCTAGAGACAACACAGAATCTAACAACATGAGTCATCTAATAATGAAAACATTAAATGCACATCTTAAAGATTTAATTGGGTAATCAATAATCTCAAAAGTTTAAGCCATTAAAAAAAGATCCAATATATGCTTTAACATCCCATCTCATGAACAAGTATCGACAATAAAACTATATGGCACAACCTCGAATGAAATATGATATCCTACGAATATTTATTGATTAAGCATCGGGAAAGAGGGACATATGCTAGTTTCAAACTCATGACTTTCTCCAATATCATTATAAAGATTTAAATGAGTGACCAGTAATCCCAGCTTAAGCTGTTAGGAAAGAAAATACATGGTTTAAAATCACAAAACACAATAAATTCTTCACTAACATTAAATATTTCACTAGTATGTCACAAGGATCTAGTAGAAGATGATTCCAAAAACAAAAACCTATAAAGATCTGAAGGAATGATGCTGACCCGATGCCAATCAGATAGAACAGATCAGGAAAATAGACATACTAAAACTTTTTGATCCAACTATATATTTTTGCCAATACACCAACAATTTAGACAGAAAGGTTTAAGCGGATTGAACATGAACAATAGGATATGACACAAGAAAATCTAATAATTTCTTCCTAAGAGTTTTTATGGGAGTTAATAACCTGGACTGAATCGGTCAGAACAAAAAGAAACTATCTATTGGCAACCTTTTTTTACAATTGACAACTTCTTTGCTATTAGCAACCCCTTGAAAAATAATAAAATATAATTTTACCATTTCCAGCTCCTCAACTGCTAATCTTAACTTCTTTTCCTACAACCCTCCCCTCCCCTCCTCCACCTCCTCCCCCATTTGCCTCCCCGTACTCCTCCCCCCTCCACCTCCCCCTACTCCTGCTCCTTCTTCCCCTGCCCTCCTCCACCTCCCCCTCCCCCTCCCCCGCCGCCTCCCCCTACCTCCACCTCCACCCACTC